GGAATTAATATACTAAGTAAGATATTTGCTGGTTTTTATCTTCAGGTTTCCTTTCAATGTTTATATACTAGATTTATTCCAGGAAACATATATAAACCAAATTAAAAAAAATAAAACCAATTGGAATTTAGTTTCTGATAAAAGAACTTTTTATGTAAAGAAATCATGAGGAACATCCTTTTGTGAATGTGAATACTCTCTGAGTTTAATTTGATACATTCAGTTTTCTTAGGGCAGGGCACATATATAAATTGTAAGGAATGAGGTGTTTTCAGAAAATATTGATAAAACTTGACATATTAACTTTTATCTTAATCTGGATGAAAAGCTGGTTAATCACTAACTTCATGAACTTTTCAAAACAAGCAAGATAAAAGACACATCTGTGACCTTTGGGAACATGCACGTCGTGGCAAGTTTGGAAAAGGGCACAATGATGATTAAAAGTAACTGAAAAATTGGACCAGTGAAATGAAATTGGCTTGTGGAGAACTAGTTGTGGCTACCTGATTTTAGGTTACATATTCAGACTTTTGACCAAGACAAAATAGTGTACCATAGATAATTCTGCTCTGAATGGAACAGGAAGGAATTAGGAGTTAGGCAAGGGAGAATTCAGTGTAACTTCAGTTCCATTCAGTTACTATTCACTAATGCCTATGATTTGCTGGGAACTGGCAATACAGAGATTTTTTTTTTTTTTTTTTTAAAGAAAAAGTATGGTATCTGCTCTTAAGCTGTTGACATTTAGTAGGGTTTCACAGAATAGGAGTTTCCTGAATGGGCTGGGTCTCGAAGGGAGAAATGGAGTTTGCTAAGGTGGAGGTATTCTGGAGCCAGGGTGCAGCAGTGGCAAAGGCATAGAGGTGTGAGGTGGCATTCTGTGCTCTGAGGACTGCACAGAGTCTGCTTGCTGGAGCTAAGGTTCCATTCCTTGTTCATATATTATGATTCCTCTAGTAGGCTGTCTTTTCAATTTAGACTCTCCACACCCTCCCTTTCACCCTCACTCTCTGCTGATTACTTTGCCTTATGCTTTGTTGAGAAATAGAAACCATTAAACCCAAACTGCCTCAACTTCCATCCAAGACCTACAGACCCACTACACTAGAATTACACCCATCTGATCCTCTTTCTTCGCTTGAGTCTCCTCGTCCTGTCACAGGCTACAAGATTTCTCTCCTTCCATCTCCTTGCTCCAGGTTCCTCACCATCATCAGGCATACCTGTTCTGATTTGTTCATCTTAGATGAAACCCAGCCTTTCTAAAAATCCTGATGTGCTACAGGATGGATGATCCTTGAGAACATTATGCCAAGTGATATGTCAGTCACAAAAAGACAAATACTATATTATTCCACTTAGAATCATAGTACCTAGAGTAGTCAAAATTATAGAGACAGAAAGTAGAACGGTGGTTGCCAGGGGTTGGAAGCAGGGGAAAGTGGGGAGTTACTCTTTAATGGGTAGAGTTTCAGTTTTGCAAGATGAAAAGAGTTATGGAGATGAAAGGTGGTGATGATTGCACAACATTATGACTGTATTTAATACTGCTAAACTGAACACTTAAATATGGTTAGTATGGTAAATTTTATGTGTATTTTAACACAATAAAAAATTGGAAAATAAAATATGTTTTAAAAGTTACAGGACTCTCATATGCCCACATCCAGGAGGAAATGCTACATTTCTTTCTTTCTTTCTTTTTTTTTTTTGAGACAGAGTCTTGCTCTGTTGCCCAGGCTGGAGTGCAGTTGTCTCCTGGGTTGAAGCGAATGCTTATGCCTCAGACTCCTGAGTAGCTGGGATTACAGGCGCAAACCACAATGCCCAGCTAATTTTTGTATTTTTAGTAGAGACGGGGTTTCAATATGTTGGCCAGGCTGGTCTCGAGCTCTTGACCTCAGGTGATCCACCTACCTTGGCCTCCCAAAGTGCTGGAATTACAGGCGTGAGCTACCACGCCTGCCCAGAAATGCTACATTTCTTTAAGAGATTAGTCAAAATAAAGATTTCATCTTTATCCTTCCCCACCAAAAAAAATACAAAAACAAAAACAAAAAAACCCACAACTCTTGATACCACCACATTCCTCTCCAGAGACCACCTCATTTTACTGTTCCACTAAAACTAATGTCTCAAAAGAGCCACGCTGTGTCTATTTCCCTCTTCTGTTCACTCTTCAATTCACTATATAATCTGACTTCCACCCACTGAAGACTGCTTTTGTCAGGGTCATCTGTACTCTCCATGTGCCACATCTAGTGGGTACTTGACCTTCAGGCAGCATTTGACAGTTTGCCCCTCCTTCCTGAAATCTTGCTCCCGGCTCCTGTGACACCATTCTCTTCTGGTTTTCTTCTCGCATCACTGGCTGCTCGTTCCCTTCTGTCCCTGGCTTCTGAGTATTGGAGGTCTCAAGGGCATTGTCCAGGGCTCTCTTGTTTCTCTATAATTCTCTTACAGTCCCTGCCCAGGGGTTTAAATGCTTTCACTGTGCTGATGATTACTCCGTTTTATCTCTAGCTGGCCCTCTCCACTGAGCTCCAGACTCTCATATCCAGTGGCTTTCTTGTATTGTAAGATATTATACTTACTGTGCCTTAAACAGAACTTGGATCCCCTCTATTCCCACTACATTCCTCCTTGTCCTAGTAATGGCATTTCCATCACCAAGTTATTCAGGCCAAACGCCTGGGTAATCCTTGCCCTTTCCTCTTTATATCTCCCTCACCCCCACAGCAAGGCTTGTGGATTCTATTTCTATTTTGAATCTATCCCCACTCTCTATCCACTGGCAGACTGCCTCTGTAGTCCAGGCCACCATCACCTCCTATCTGGATTATTCCAACAGCCTCCTAACTAGTGCCCGCTCCTCTTGCTCCTCTCCATCCTCATTCATTCAGCACACTGTTGTAAGAATAATCACAAATCAAACAATTTCACTTCCCTGTTACCATTTCTGTGGATTTCCAAATTCCCTACTTTGGCCTACCTGCATCATCATTTGGCCTGCCTTGTTCTCCAATTTCATTTCATGTCACTCTCCCCACACCTACTGGATTGTAGAGACTCTGGTCTTACTTAACTTTCTTTTAACATACTCCTGTCTCCCTCAGGATCTTTGCAGTTTCCTCTTTGAATGGCTAGCTACTTTTCTTCCTTTAATATAAGGTCTTAGAGGTCATTCCTTGACTGTCCTTCCTAAAGTAGGTTCCTTTTTTTTTTAATTTAAAATTATTTTTTATTGATGCATAACTGATGTACATAGTGTCAGGGTACAAGTAATAATTTAATACATTCATGTAATTTGTGAAGATCAAATCAGTATACTTGGGATATCCATCACCTTAAATATTTGTCTTGTCTTTATTTTAGAAACATTTGAATTATTCTCTTTTGAATTATTCTCTTTTTTGCTGTTTAGAAATATAAATGTATAGTAAACTATGGTCACCCTACTCCTCCGTTTCATAATACTTGGTACAGTTTGCAGTTATTTTGTGTTCACTTCTTTTTCTCCTCCACTGGAAGAATATAAACTCAGTGAGTGCAGAGACTGGGTCTGATCCGTTTACCGTCATATCCCCAGTGTTTTGAAATGTCTTGCTTGGCATGTAGCAAGAAGTCATTAAATATTTATGAAATGAGGCCAGGCACGGTGGCTTACATCTGTAATCTCAGCACTTTGGGAGGCCTATGTGGGAGGATTGATTGAGCCCTGGAGTTTGAAACCAGCCTGGGCAACATAACAAGGCCCCTGTCTGTACAAAAAAATCTTAAAAATTAGCTGGGCATGGTGGCATGCGCCTGTAGTCCCAGCTTACTCGGGAGGTTGAGGCAAGATTGCCTGAGCCCAGGAGTTTGAGGTTACAGTAAGCTATGATTGGACCACTGCACTCCAGCCTGGGTGACAGAGTCCCTGTGAGAGAGAGACAGAGAAAAAAAAAAGTATGAAATGATAGAAGGAAAAGGGAAAGAGAAAGGAGCACTGTTTTTTTTTTTTTTTGACAGGGTCTAACTCTCTCACCCAGACTGGGGTGCAGCAGTGCGATCATAGCTCACTGCAGCCTCTATCTCCCAGGCTCAGGTGATCCTTCTGCTTTAGCCTCCTGAGTAGCTGGCACTACAGGCACATGCCACCGTAATAGAGTTAATAAATAACTTACTTATTTATGTAGAAATGGTCTGGTTCCATCACCCAGGCTCAAGCGATCCTTCCATCTCAGCCTCCTGAGTAGCTGAACTACAGGCAGGCACCACCATACCAGGCTAATTTTTGTATTTTTTGTAGAGTTGAGGTTTCGCCATGTTGCCCAGGCTGGTCTCAAACTCCTGAGCTCAAGCGATCTGTCTGCCTTGGCCTTCCAAAGTGCTGGGATTACAGGTGTGAGCCACTGTGTCCAGATAACTATGTTATTTATTTTTTTGTTTCTAAATTGTCTCCTCCACTAGCATGTAAGATTCATGAAGGTAGCTTCTTTGGTTTACTGTATTTTCAAGAAAAAATTCTAGCTCCTAATGAGCTGATTATGTGTTGAAAAAATGGGGAGAAGAGCTTAATTGTTTGTTTGTGACGGAGTTTCACTCTTGTTGCCCAGCATGGAGTGCAATGGCGTGATCTCGGTTCACTGCAAGCTCCGCATCCTACGTCAGCCTCCTGAGTAGCTGGGATTACAGGCATGCACCAGCATGCCCAGCTAATTTTTGTGTTTTTAGTAGAGACGGGGTTTCTCCATGGTGGTCAGGCTGGTCTTGAACCCCTGATTTCAGGTGATCCGCTTGCCTCAGCCTCCCAAAGTGCAGGGACTACAGGCATGAGCCATCTCGCCTGGCCAAGCTTAATTATTTTATATGCTTGCTAAAGATTTCCTTTGGATAAGATTTGCAACATCTCTGTTCTTGTGGTTTTTGAAAATTTTGAAAATTACTATCTTATAAATGTTGAAAAACCTAGTACCTATGTGACTCCATGAATTGAAACGGTTTCTTTCCCCCAGTTCGTTTAGAACTCATCAAATTGAAGCGGCTCCAACCAACTCTGCAAGTGATGGATTTAAGGCAAATCTTGTCTTTAAGGAGATTGAGAAGAAACTTGAAGAGGTAAGATTTATGTAAAATATTGCCAGGAAGGACCTTGAGGCTAGAGGAAGCAGACACAGGTGTTGCCACGAGGTGGTACAATTGAAAATTTATATCATGTTTTCAACTATTGAGTGTAGTTAGATTTCTGAGTGTCTATTAAGGCTTCCTTGTAATTCTAAAAGAAATGCATTTCAGAAATGTATAAATCTCCAGATTTGAGCTTTAAAAACTATGATAAATACTGTTAAAATTGTCGCTCTTTTGTAGGTCCTCTTTGTCAGAGGGTTATTCAGTTATGGGCAAAGTTCAAATGTAAAGGGATTCTAATTTATTTTGGTATAATTTCCTTTGAATTAAGAAGGTCTTACTTAAAATCATTCCAAAGAATAATATTTAAAACGAGCCTTTTTTGTACATAGATCAAAATTCTTTGTAAAAAGAAATTGTGTTTTGATTTCTTAAAGTAGTTAAAAATTTTTTGTTTTAAAAATGATGCTAGTTTAAAAAATTTATACTATACAGAAATGTATGTTTATGAATAATATAAATTTTATACTATACTTTTGTTTTAACCTTTTAAACAAAAGTTTAAAATCTCCCCAAATTCTGCCACTCAGAGTTTACTGAAATGTTAACAGTGGTTAACGTTCTTTCAAACATCTCTCTCTGTGTATATTAACTTATAGTTTTAAGCTAGGGTCATATAATACCTGTTGTTTTGTTGTTTTGTTTTGTTTTGAGACAGGGTCTTGCTCTGTCGCCAAGGCTGGAGTGCAGTGGTACCATCTTGGCTCACTGCAACTTTCACCTCCCGGGTCCATGCAATTCTCGTGCCTCTGCCTCCTGAGTAGCTGGGATTACAGGCGCCCACCACCACGCCAGTCTAATTTTTGTATTTTTAGTAGAGACAGGGTTTCACCATGTTGACCAGGCTGGTCTTGAACTCCTGACCTCAAGTGATCCACCCGCCTTGGCCTCCCAAAGTGCTGGGATTACAGGGGTGAGCCACCACGCCCACCACAACACCTGTTGTTTTTTATTATACTATATATGCTGATCTATTTTTTATGTACAATAATTCTTGATAGGTAATAGTTATACTAAGGCAATCTAAAAATAACTCTCCAGGCAAAATTGATATTTATTTCATTGTTTTAAACTTAGAGGAATCTTGGGATCGCTTTCTTTTTTTTTTTTGAGACAGAGTCTCACTTTGTCTCCCAGAATGGGAGTGCAGTGGCATGATCACAGCTCACTGCAGCCTTGAGCCCCTGGGCTTAAGTGATCCTTTCACCTTGGTCTCCCAAAGTGTTGGGATTACAGTCGTGAGCCTCTGCTTGGATGTATTTCATTATTGATTTTAGATCTCAGACCATACAAGGCATGGTTACGGCCATAATCACAATGCAAATTACACATCTATTAAGGTGATCAAAGTGGGCTGGAATAAATAGAATGTTTAAACTGTATTTCACCACATTAGAGCCATGGTATGAAAGGCAAACATTGTGCTTATCTCATAACCCTTATTGTAGGCCAAAGGACTACTTAATATCTGAGATGATTGCACTGTGGATGGGAATACAGGTGATATAACTGATGTGTCTTGTGAAAGAACCCAGCATTCCCAGGACTTTCATTATAATCTGCAACCATCCTGAGGGAGAGCAGGGCCAACCATTGGCCTAGAAGCTGCAGACCTGTCCTGCAACCATCTTGGGATGCATCCACATGGGGCTACCTGTTTTATAACCTGTGTTTTTCTTTGGACAGTATGTTCCATGGCCATAATCTAAATCTTTACCCTCTTTTTTTTTTTTTTTTTTTTTTTTTGAAACAAAGTCTCGCTCTGTCACCCAGGCTGGAGCTCAGTGGCACGATCTTGGCTCACTGCAACCACCACCTCCCTGGTTCAAGCGATTCTCGTGCCTCAGCCTCCCGAGTAGCTGGGATTACAGGCACGTGCCACCACACCCAGCTAATTTTTTATTTTTAGTAGAGACAGGGTTTCACCATGTTAGCCAGGAGGTCTCTATCTCCTGACCTTGTGATCTGCCTGCCTTGGCCTCCCAAAGTGCTAGGATTACAGGCATGAGCCACCGTGCCTGGCCATTTACCCTGATTTTTAATACATAGTATGTATTCATATGTATTTGTCATAATTTAAATAGCTTCCTGTGATGAATATCAGGTTGTATTTAACATTTTCAAGTAAAACGGTGCTGTAATAAATTTCCTTTTGCACTCATATTTAAGTATTTAAGCTATGATCAATTTAATATAAAGGAGGAAAATTGTTGAGTGGTTGGCTATGTGCATTTTGTATATTGATACATATTGCCAAACTACACCAGCAAGAGGGTACTAATTTACAAACATTACCAATTCATGAGAGTGACTATTTTTTCATTTAAAAAAATTTATTTATTTTTATCGCTGAGGCAGGAGAATCGCTTGAACCCAGAAGGCGGGGGTTGCAGTGAGCCGAGGTCATGCCACTGCACTCCAGCCTGGGTGACACAGCGAGACTCCACCTCAAAAAAAGTAAAATAAAATAAAATAAAAATAAAAAGTCTTTGCCAACCTAGTAGGAAAAAATATCTCATTGTTTCTTGAACTTCTTTCATTATAAGTGTTCCTGTAAAATGAAGTTGCACTCTATAAAGTCTCAGCTTAAAAGTTTTGGTTTTTTAAAATGCTGCCAATATATTCCTGCAGAAGAACACATAGGATAGTTGTGTCTGACAAGTTGCTTCATTTATTTCAACCCTATTCCATCTAAAAAAAAAATCAAATAAATTAATGTAGAGACTATCTACTATGAAATGTGAGGTATGGCAGTATATCAATCATTGAATACTTCATTACTGGGATTAACAAAGTAGAGTGGTTTTTATTTTACAGTATTCTTTTAGCCTTGCAAATGTATGCCTCTTGCTCCATTTTTATTCTTTTCTCTATAACCTCCCTACCAACCTTGTTCCCTTGTTTCTTTCTCCTTCCCACGATTGTCAGTTTCCTAAGTGTTTGCAGCACTAGAAAGTTAAAGTCTTGGAATCTTTTGTCAATTCATGCATTTTCTGCATTAGCAAAGGCAGCCTGGCCAAAGATTTTATTTCCACTTCTGTCTTTGTTAGCAATTCTCCATTGCCCTTCTTTGAATTTTGTCTTAATTTTTTTGTCCCTATTAAGTCTGTGACAGGACCTACTCCTTAACCTTTTGCCTACTCAGAAAAAAGTACTTTTCTTCAAGCAAGGAGGCACTCAGAACTTTCTTAGTACTAATGATCTCCAATTTCACAACTGTATTTTATTTTCCCTTTTAACTCTCTCTCCTCATCAGTTTCCTTACCCTCTCTCACTCCCCTACTTCAATTGAAAATGTTTTATTGTCCAAGGGATGTGATTTTATAAGAGGATCAGTTGTTTCTGAAAAGTAACAGCAAGTACAAATTATTCTCTCATCTATTTTAAGGAGGTGGGAGGATAAGCAGTAAGGTTATAGGAATTTCTCTTCAAGTATGCAGGTAGAATTTCTAAATGTTTGCTGGTGTTTTCCTGCTGTAACTTGTTGGTGTCTGCACATAGCTGTATTCCTGAGGCACTGTGCAAGCAGATGGCATGGATGCACCTGGAAATAGTCATTCATGGGCCTCTGGCCCTAAAGGAAGCCTTCCTCTTAGGTGGCCTAGCACACTAATGTTATTAACCCCCTCTCATAGATTATTTCCACAGAACCTTGAGAGAAAAGATTTTAAGGAATGTGAACACTTGTAACTTTCTTCATTTTATGGTGGCAGATACAGCTCTGCTGTCATCGGCTAAAGTTTAGAAATATTGGTGTGACCTACCGTTTCAGTGTGGTATGGTCAAATGAAAGTAGCATTGAATTTGGGATTAAAGCAACCTGGGATTGAGTTCTGGTTGTACTACCCACTAGCCATATGTCCCTGCCTCTCAGGGAACACAGAGTTTACTGGGACGAGAGACATGGAAAAATATTTCCAGAAAAAAGTAACATGGGTTTATGTGCAGAGGGCCATCGAAGTATCTGGTGGAGATAGAGACTCCTTCCCAAAAGAGTTAGCATGTGAGCTGAGACTTGAATGAGGAGGTCAGGGGTGGGAGTGGAGGCTAGGAAGAAGTGAGTGTCCTGGGATGGGGTAGGAGTAAGGGCATGGAGGCATACAAGCACATGGCACATAAGTTCATGGAATTCAACATGTTCATGGAATTCAAAGATGAAGAGGAAGAGAAAGTGGCTGGAGTTCGGACAAATATCCTTCAGATCATGAAGACTCTAGGATAATATGTAAAGACAGACTTCATCCTGTTGACTGTGAGGAGTCACCAAGAAGTTCAAGCCTGAGAGTGCCAGATGGATATGCTAGTGTTAGATGTACTACTTGGCAGCAGTATAGAGGAGAAGCATTCTTAATCTTTATGAGCCTCAATTGCTTTTTCTGCTTAATGAGCTAATATTAATGTCTGCCCAACTATTTGTATGGTTTTGTGAAGATTAAAGAAATTATATATACAAAAGTATTAAAAACTTGAAGGCCCCTCAAAATAATTAGTATTGTTGTTAGTAGTTTTTTCTACAGTTAACTTAAAATAATTTAAGTGAGCTCTTTTAAGGGAAGCCAACATAAGAGCATTTCTTTTTCACTTAAAAGAAAAACCTGACAGTCATTTTCGTTTCTTGGTTTAACTAGAAAATACTGGTAGTTAATTTCAGGATACTCATATGTAAGAGATGCCTCCATGACTATTGAGATAAGTAGTCCCTGACTAAATATTTTAGGGCAGAACAAGTGTTTTGTCCTAAGACCCATGTCCAAGATTCCAGGTGGCTCTCAGGGGATCTACCTGTATATAAGAAAAAGGTTGACATACTGGGCACAGTGGCTCATGCCTGTATTCCCAGCACTTTGGGAGGCTGAGGTGGGTGGATCACTTGAGGCCAGGAGTTCAAGACCAGCCTGGCCAACATGATGAAACCCCATCTCTACCAAAAA